GTTATCGACCAAGAAGGTAAAAATTAGCATTTCCCATAATGATATGATATAATAAGAATAACTATTTACTAAAAATAGTAATAAAAATGTTAGAAGCATTTAATGCGTACTTGTATTTGGAAACTTTTTAAATATATGCATTAATTCTTAGATATATACGTTTTCAAATAAAATCAAATCAGATATGATCAAAAATATTGTTTCCTTAAATAATTTATTAATATATGCAATAACTTTCATTGATATCCATTTTAATAAATTACAAAATTGAACTTTCGTGATTCGTGTTGATAATTTATTGTTCAAGATAAATATTACAACATATTTTAAGTTCTAACCTTAATATAATTTTTTTTCACAAATATTCATTTTTTCTCCAAAAATATTTATAGAAAATCGTAACAGTTTAGGTTTTCTTCTAATTAATTAGGCGAAATCAAGTTGGTGAATTAATCTTTACCAATATAATTTTTTCTTAAGCTTTATTTCGTTATATATAAAAAATTATTATTCAAATTAATATAATTTACGTTAAAATAATGAACAAATACATTAAATAGTTTTACTAATGGTCAAAAAGTAAAATTAAAATATATTAACCATTCTTTAGAATTTATTTGTATATTATTGGCAACCATAATTTTTTTTATATCATTTTTTTATTTTAATGTTTTCCTATAATGAAATTCTTTCAGAATATATTCATTGCGGAGTATACTAAATAAACTATAAATCCTTATAATGCATATTAAAAAAAATCTTGAAAGGGATTTAGTTTTTGGCATTTGTTAAATCAAAATTGTTTAATTAGTATACAAAATTAAATCCTAAAAAAACATGTGCGTATATTTTGTGAAATATTTATACACTATTTAATTTTAAATACATATTTTAAATTGATTACATAAATAAATAATACTAACGTGTATTAAATATTTTTCATTACATAAAATAAAAAGAAATAAAAGACTTACAACTTCTATAACTTTTATAAATAATAATAACATTATATGACAACAAAGTTTATAATAAAATAATAGTTAAGTATTATATTATGAACAAGAATAAATAAAACTATTATTTTATCTTATATCAAAGAATATATATATATATATATATATATACTAAAATCACATTTATATTAATATAAATGTGTTAGTAATATAATATACTAACTATGTTACAAGTTTGCCCTAATATGCTCATATTTAATGTCTTGGCTAAAAAAACAAAGTTGATTAAACGAGGTGGAAAATAAATTATAGCCCTATTGTTTTATGGAAAAATGCTACAAATACATAATAAATTTACATAAATGTGTTGGGGTCCACTTGATTTTTTATTTTTGGTGGGTCACATTTAATTTGAGTGTTATGTGCACACCTATGTACAACATTATATACATATAACATTTATCTTGTTTTAGTCTCAACACTGATTAAATGAGGTGGAAAATATATGATAATCTATTGTTTTTTAAACTTAAACG